TAAAAAAAAAAGAAGAAAAAAAGTCACGCCTTTTTTCTTCTCGAAAGCATGGTTGATGAGGCCGCCTTCCGCCCGTCGCGCTTTTTGTCGTGTTTCGATTCCGTTCGGCGGTATCGATTTTGAGGACCCTCGGGAGTGAAAACTGTGGCGGATGCTGCAAGGGGGTAGATGGGAAGAAGTAGGCTGCGGGGAGAAGCGCTTCGGGGTGGGGGAGCAGCCGATGGGAGCAGCAGCTAGGACAGGTGTCCCTGCCCCCGCCTCGGTTTTCGGAAAGTGGGTCGGAGCGAGGAAGAGGGAGTTTGGCATCGTGTCCTGCGGATGGGGCCTGGACAGTGGCCCTTGCCTGAGGAAGAGATTCGGGAGCTGCTCAGACACGGCTTGAGATTAATGACGGAGTGGTTCTTCGTGCACTGAAAGGAGTCGTCGGTGGCTAACGGGATTGCGTTTGGGGTAGCCTTTGTGTCAGACATCCTTGTTTCCGTAGAAGTTGTGACAATAGTCCATTTTGTAAGGAGGCTGACTGATGGAGCCAGGAGACTGAGGAAAATGTGTAGAAGTAATTAGGCATAGGTTTAGAGGCATTGTTACTGTGATCACAAAACTAGTGGGGGCTGCACATTATTGCATCTGAGAAGTGGTTGTTGGAAGGCTGAGATGACTGGGTCAAACTCTAAAGCAGCTTTAATTTGGACATGGTGAAAATACGTTAATACAGGGAAATCAATTTCCAGAGAATGTGATGAAAATGTATAGTATCATTATAATGGATGCGTATCTTCGTCTACGCTCATATTTCATTTTAAACAAATCTTGTAGCACCTACCACACATTTTGCTTTTTAAAATATTTCCTATGCATTTACATATGAAAAGAATTGTTTAACATAGCAATATATCTTTGCATTTTCAGTTAAATCCAGTGCTTTTCTTTGAATACTTACAAGTTAGAATCATGTGGATAACAGTTTCTATTTGTACATGATGCCATAGAACTGTGAAAAGGGATCTTGAAGAATAGATATGGAGACCACTTGGTGGTTAAACAAATGAGAGAATGGTGGGCATGGCACTAGTGGATGTTTTAGTTCTAATCATGCAGTAGCGATTCATAGAAATATATTTGGAACTTTTCTGATAACAAACATATTTCTTATTTATTGTCTTTTAATGCCAAGCAAGAAATAGAAACAGCTTTGCGTGTCAGCTAACTTGTTTTCTTCTACCCACCCTGTCTTAAAAATCTGGAGATTCTAGCTTAAATATATATAATTATTTGACACTAAAGAATTCTAATACGTACTTCATTTTCATATCATTCAGTTATTAGGAAATGAAGATAAAAGCAAGATCAAATACATTAATTTGTATTTTTATGTTTTGAGGTTGTTTTAAGATTTAAGCTAGCTTAAATATAGAGTTTGGATTGAAATATGGCATATAAATTGAATGAATAAATTAAAAATAGTTTTGCAGTGAATGAAGCTGAAAATGCAACTAAAGTATTTAATTTTGTTATATATACACTAATGTATTAAGGCCACCATTACATTTCTTACAAAAGATTGCTAATAGAAGAGTACACTATAATACAAAGTATGTGTTATATTTTATATTTGTTCCATCACTAAAAAGGTGAATGCTACTCAGTTTTTTAATATATATACATATACGTGTGTGTGTGTGTATTTTCTCATGCTTGTCAGCAGTATATGATATTTCTTGGTAAATATCTTTACATGTACATCTTAAAAATTATACATAAAGCCTCAACTACTAATTGCTATTCTAAATTATTGGATACACTAAAAACAAACATTCTCAAACTTCTGTTTTTGATAGTGGGAGAATCTGTATATCTAACAAGTTATAAACACAGTAAAATGTATAACAAAAGAAATGGAATAGGTTTCCTACAAAAATCATCAAGATATCCCATTTACTATAATTTTATTTATTTTTTAGATTTATATCCCACCTTTCCTCCAGGAGCTCAAGGTGGCATACATAGCACTCCCTCCTCCAATTTTCCCCCACAACAATGCTGTGAGGTAGATTGGCCTAAGGGAGAGACTCACCCAGATTACCCAGTGAACTTTCATGGTTGAAAATGGACTTGAACCTGGGTCTCCCCAACCTTGTCCAACACTGGCTATTGTGGATGAAAAACGTTGATAATACTTTCAAACAGAAAATTATTTGTTCTTGGCTGCTGTGGTCTTGGACATGTTTTCCACTTTATGACAGTATCATATGATGGGATAATGTATCCTTTATGTAGTATTATTATGTATTATGTAATACAGCCTTTATGTAGTACTGTGAAGTATGCAAAGTATATTGTGTTTATAATCCTGTTATATTAATAGCAGTAAAAAATATGTGTTTACATATGTAAAATGTATGCATTACCGTAATGCAGGAAATGCTAATATAAGGCTGCCATCTACCAAGTCTATGACAATGGTGGAACTAGAACTTTTTGATATGTAGCTTGGTCTCTTAGCTTGTGCACTACACCAATATTTCATTTCATTCAATAAGTCTTTTACCAATTAACACACATTTTGCTTTTTAAATTTTTACTTTTAAATATTTCTTAGGTGTTTAAACATTAGAAAGGTTTTTAAAAATATAGCTGTATTTCTTTGTATTTTAAATTAAACCCATTGCATGTAACTGAATTCCTGTTGCATCTTAGAATCATGTAAATTTAGACATTTATGAGAACAATTAATTATATTTTATCATTTGCTCCTGTTTTCTGCAGCTATTCCTCTGCTTGTTTATTAGATGTAAAGGTGCTGAAGTGAATATAATAGAATTCCCAGAAGAATGTGATTAATTTTAGCTACTTTAAATGTCTGGAATTTTTTTGCGTATCTGGAAATAAATATGATCAATGCTAAATCTTTTACTGGAAAATTAGAATTTGTAGAATGTGGTTCCAAACTTAAGTGTACAGATCTCAGCTCAAACTTAGAGCAGTCATCACTTACAATTTGAAAAGAGTGTTAGTAGCCATACTTTGCAAAAGTGACTGCTTTATTATTTTTTTAAAAAGTTTTAGCAATATTTATTGTCTATACAAGGGCTGGTGAAGTAAAAAGAAATCAGAAACCTCTGGGTATATAATCTAGTTCAGGTTCCTATAGTGGATTTGGGATTAGTTGTTAACTGTTTGTAGTCTGCATATATGTGTTTTCCCATTTATAATTCCTTATATTTTGGATGAGTCACTTTTGCATTTTGAGAGTAACAATTATTAAGATGAATATAAATGTCACTAGTATTTGGAAACTAACACATAGTTTCAATTTTGTTGAAGGTGTTAGAGTCCTTGTGGATGCTCGTGAGAAACTTCATATTCCATGGGGAAATCCTGCTAATCAAAAGAACGGTGACAAGATGATGGCCTTTGATACCCGTTTAGAAGTGGTGAAAGGGATGGTGCAAACCCAGACTTTTTTACAGTACCTTCCAACAGTAAGAGCTTTGTGGGCAGATAGTGGTATCCAGCATGCTTATGACAGACGCAGAGAATTTCAGCTGGTAAGAGACATAACTCTTCATGTTGTTGTATTTATTGTGATAGCACAATTTAAAATCTTTTATAAATGAAATTGAGGTATTTTTGGTGAACATTTTATTAGATTAACATGAAATTTTAATAGTATAGATAATGATGTACATAACGACAAGGATGAGAACAGCAAAATTAATTTCCATAAAGGCAAGATGCAGAACTATAGCAGGGCTTGGAATTTAAATGCTGACCTATAACAATGTTCAGCAAGCATATTTCTGTTCAAGCAGTGAGACTTCTTATTTCCTCTCCATTCAGTTCTTGATACTTTCTGACCTTGGCTGTTTTCTTGCAGACATTTCATAACCCAGCTAGGTAATATTATCAGTGTGAGGGAGAGTGGGCTCTTCTGGTTGTTTATATATAGTAGCTTGCCCTGCCAGTCTTGGTGGGGGTATGATTACCTCCTTGATGGTTCCTTCATTAGGTTATTGTTTCTTCCCTGGTTGTTCATCTGGTGCTGTTTCCTGATTAACTGGGTGTTGGCTGCTGGAGGCGATGTGTTCTAGGCTGTTTGTTTCCTTCCTAGGTTTTTGATTGTATCTTTTAAATGGTATGTTAACAGTTTCGCAACACATGGACAGACTCAGCTACAGTTTCAACTGGGAAACTGTTAACATTTTAAATCAAGCCAAATCCAAAAATGTTAGGGAATTTCTAGAAGCTTGGTACTCAGAGAAATCAGTCATCAGTAGACACATAGAGATAAACCCCACTTATATACCCCACTCTCCCTCACACTGATGATGTTACCTAACTGGATAAAGAAACATTTGCAAGAAAACAACCAAGCTCAAAGAGTACCAAGAACCCAACAGTTCAGTCCTCAGCTACACATATTCTCTACTATTTCCTCTCCATAGAATTGGATATAAAATAAGGGTAAGTATTAAGAATCTGATTTACTGTCAGAACTACACTTGCTGGTCAAATTCCTAGCCTTTATAGCAATTCTTCAAGAAAAATATTAGCTAATCATTTAAAATTATATGCGCACAGTATGTTTGATTAAAATAGATGTATGAATAACATTAACAGGCAGAGGCAATCTGGAGATGGGTGGGAACAATTTTCCCCAATAGGAAAAATAGAATGGTTTGAGCTTGCTATTATGTAATTTGTTCCCAAGCACTTAACTATGAATAATGTTACAGTTGCTGCTATAACACTAAGCAAGAGCATTAGGAGGTTGTTTGTAGTGTCTGTGCTTTATATATGAAGACTACTGTAATGGCATAGAGTACTTCATAATATTCTATAGTTGGGAGATTTATTGTACAAAAGCATGTAGGTTATACTGAAAGCCTGTGGTCTGTGAGTGTTGAATACATTGTTATAAATCAAATTTGCTCCAGAGAACAGGAAGCAAGTTGAATACTTCTTTCCATATCTTAAAAGACTACATTCCATATCTTTAAAGGCTACCTCCAGTGTTTATTGAATGTACTTCCATCATGCAATAGAATTTCCTGGCTCTCTGCCCCCTTGATTTGAAATTAACTTTGGAGGGTCTCCCCAAACTTCTACAGCAAGTAGCCTGATACATATTTAATGTGATTTCATTCTATCCTGATAGTAATCTTTTCTGAGTGTGGATTCTTATATAGCAAGAGTTGTTATCTTTAATACATATTCTGAAAAGAGGTATGCTGGTAGACTAAAAACCTCAATAGGAGCATTCCCCTCAAAAACATTTTATTTTAGATTTATTTTATGGTATTAGCAAACCTATATGCTGCATTGTGACAGCTGAGTAGCCAAAATAGAATTAGTGGGAATTGAGGAGCAAGAACTAGAGTACATCAGAGAGACCCACATTTTGCAGAAGTAGGAAGAATTAAAAATTAGGGAAATAACTGTAAAAGGAGGAAAAAAAGAAATCCAAACTATATAATGAAAATGTCCATGCTGAGTGGCCATAGACTGCTGAGTGTCCTTGGGAAAATTAAAAATAGACAATCAAGATCTATAAGAGGGAAAGAAGTATATAGAAGAATATGAATACTTTGGAAAGAAAAGATGGCCTGCTGAGCTGAATACTGAGCAGGAGCTAGCTGCACAAGAACATTTTATTTCACATCCCGTGTACATAGCCAGTGCTCAGAATCTCTTTTGAAAGTTTAAGAATCTGCCACAAGTGTTCATTCTTTCTTTGTTGTATCATGCAATCAGATTCAGTTATATTTTCTTTAGTACACATCATAGTTTGAAATGATAAGCTATGCACTTCTTCTGCAAACTTTGCTCAAGCTATGGTTCATAATCTAGATTTATCTTGTTAATGGATTTGCAGCAGATCAAAGAGGTGAAGAGGTGGGAATGCATAGACCAAAGGCTAATTTCAGATTTTTCCTCAGTGCAAACCATGTCTGCTACATCGTAATCAAATCAGAATCAATTCTGACTCTGCGGTATTAAATGGGAAACAAAATGCCAAACTTGGCTTTATACAAGAACCAACCTATTGCATTTTTTATACATCCACATCTATATTTGAAATGAACAACGTTGATTTTACAGCAGAAATAAGTAATTTGGGGGGAGAGTGGGAATTTTGGAATTTTGAGAACATATATTGAGTACATATATTTAATAGAATAGCTTTCTTGGAGAGAGATGGGCAGTCACAAAACTTCCATTTATCAGGAGATAAACTTTTGCAGTAGCTCCTTAACTACTGCTTTGGTTCTCCAGAATGTTTTCTACTACCCAGCTTACCTTTGCCTCTTTACTGGGGTATTTCTAATTGCCCACCTTATTTACTAAGTTGATGCGAGGCCTATGGATAATTTGCTTTGTAGTTGCTTGCTTTCCATGTAATTATTTTTAAATTAAAAGTCTCTCTTTAGAGTAACAGATAGGACTAGAATGCAAAGGTGATGCCTCTGCGAATATATTGGTTCCATAGATGCCATGTTATTTATCTTCCATTATAGTGTATGTCAAAAGTGGTGTTGAAGACTTTTTTCCTGCTAATGTAGTTGTCGCACTAGAATCTTTGAAAATCTTCTGAGATTGAAAAGACAGTGCCATGGGATGTGTTATAATGAGCAGAATTTATTGAAATGGAATGTATGAAAGAAAGTGACTTTCTGCTTGAATAGAGTATCGTTGGATCTAAACCAATACCAGCAATATGCAAAACAGATCAACAGCAAAGTGTCTTTAATGTAGAAATGTAAAAATAGAAAATGAAACATTAGATGGCTTTATGACCTCTTTTGAGATAACTTGGGAAAAAGGAAGCCTCTGTATTTTTTGTTCGTTTAACCAACTTTACACTGGATTTGGAGTATGTGGAGAAAAAAAAATGCAAAACCATTTCAGTTATTGTTTGAATGCTGGAAAGTAGCCTTCTCCAGCCTTGGTACCTCCAGATCTGTGGTTTTCAAATCCAAAAATTCCTCAGGCAATTTGCTCATTGCTGATACTTTTGGGAGCTAAAGCCATAATTGGAAAATGTCAATTAGGAAAGGCAGGTCTACAGTTTCATGGCTCTTGAATGTTTTGACAGCCCAAACTTCTGCTTTCCTTCTCTCTCTGCCATTTAAATGAGAACATTAATGCTTCAGAACTCTTGCTGTGGCTTGATTTCAGTATTTAAACAACTATTGTTGGATGTAATAACCACAGAGTCCCGCAAAAGTAGTTAAGTAGTACCTTTTACTGGTTTTTAAGCTTAAGGCTATGAACCTTGCTTCATATTTCTGTTTAATTTGATTACTGACCTTACAGTAATTTAGTTCTACTCTATCACTGTGCTATATGCTTTATTTGAATTTGTTCCTAATGTAGCAGCTTTGCACATGAGTAAATGTATTAAACACCAAATGTTGAAGTGGGCTTTTTTCATTTGGAACAGGGGCAGCCTCTACACTTAGCACCCTTTCTGTGGCTTTCAGAGTCTTCATCAATGAAGTTTTTTTTCTCTCCAAAAAACGGTGAATTGGAAAATTTTCTGGAAAAAAATTATAAACAAACAAATTTAATTTATGTGGGATAATTTTCATCATATGGTGGCATGTGGAAATTTTCCAAGAAAAATAAAGTGCTAGAAAATTTTCCAACCTGTATTACTGCCATTGACCATAATTTCTGGAAATTGGCATTACATGTTTATGCCTTTTTAAAATGGGAAACAGGTAAGTATATCACAGTTAAAGCAACAACAAAACAAACAACAAAGAAATATCTAAAGCTGCTCCCAATTCCAACCTACTTGCATGTGTGAAATGGCTAGGTAGCAGTGCCCCCTCCACGAATAATGAGACTTATTTTAAAATAGGAGTAGTAAATCAAATTTCCTCAGCAAGATGCCAGTTATACTGAGACTGCAGTATGCTCTGGTCCCATCAGATGCAATGTGTGAACTGCAGCAGTGTATATGAATATAAAGAAGTTCCAATGTTTTGGTGCTATCCTTTACTAATGCAATCTTAAGAATTCTTTGAAAGCCAAATAATTTTCTAAATAAATGCAAGTTTTAAAAAATGATTCTTGCCAAAATAATTGTTCATCCCAATTTAAATTATCTTAGGCAAATTGAACGTTTTTATTATGAAATAGCATCAGTGTGTTCAACTGTGAGTAACAGTGAGTAACAGTGAGAAAACTTTCCTTTAACCATTTAATTTGATTTGTCACTTATCTTGGAAAAGCACTTGTTATGTATGATAAAACAATACATGCAGTTTCCATAGCCCATAGTTAAACACAAAACTATAACGGTTAAGTCTTTGCAAGAGATGTTCAGTTTTAGAATTTGTAATCCTTTAACCCAAAGGAAAAGGGTTACAACCACAATATAGAATATGTATTCTGCAATAGGAGTAAAATATTAATGCTTTTAATTTTAATGTTATTGTGCCTGGATTGGAAGGAAATAAGCTGTGCTGCCTTGCCTCATGTCACTAAGGAAATGAGCATGAGGATAGACTGCCCATTCTTAACTCTAGGGAAATGATAA